CATCTCCTTTTTAGTCATAGTTCGTTTTCGTTTTTTTTATAGATTTTTTGATAAGATAATTCTGGTTTGTCCGTGAACTAGTACAACAGGTTGCATTTAGGACCATAAGGTAACCGAGTGAAGTTGGGCTTTGAGTTCTATAAATTAAATGTATATAGATCTTATACACATTTTAATAAAAAGCAAGCCACGGCAAAACCTGTGAAGATTAAAAAAAAAATAATAAAAAAAAAATAAATAAATAAATAAATAAATTAGAACTTTGCTACATAAAACATTGTTTCAATTAAAGTAATAAAATATAAATCTAATCAGTATCCTTGTAAGGCTTATAAGTATACTGTGTTGCTCTATGATTGAGATAGATCTTAGGAGTTTTAACTACTATTAACACTCTTGTCAGCAGGACATATGTAATATAAAAATATTTCTCACAACATAAAAATAAACAAAAAAACTAAATATTAATAGATTATAGCAATTATTAGATTTTTCCATGCAAAAATTTTTTAAAAATTAATTTTTTTATTTTTTAAAGCTTTTAATAAATGTACTACCAGTAGTACAAAGGTGTAAATCCAATCTATTAATGTAAGGAATTTACATAAACACATTGTCAACTAATAAAACATAAGTATATATAAAAATTTACTATTTTCAAAATATATAAAATAAATACATAGATATAATGTTAATAAATTACAATAAATATTGATAAATTGTTAATATTGTCAAAACTAAAGGAAATATAAATATATAACATCTTCATTATATAAGCAATTATTTATAAATATAAAGCATAATATCCAAAAATCTAATTAAGCTATTTTATTATAGAAACTACAATGAATTTATTTAAAGTTTATTGCTAATTATGAAGGATATATTGCTATGAAAGATTGGAATAATATGAAAAAAAATTAGTAATTGGACTTCATGTTGTAGAACTATTATGTAACAGGTCAAAAATATTGTGAGGATAAGAATATATGGGCTGAAGTAAAACTAACATCTTAATCTTTGCAAAGATGAAATATAATACCAAAAAGAAGATTAAATATTTAATGAACCTCAAACAGAATGAAAATGAAAGTATAATATTATACACCAACCATTTTGAAGCCTGTGCAGATAAAGTAAAAAATGAAGTCAGCAAGTATAAAAAGAAACAGTGGTACATGTGAGGTCTCTTGGCAAAGTATAGAGAAAAGATAAAAGAAAAATATCCTGAAATATATAAAGAAACAAAGAAATGGATAATAAAAATTAAAAAGTTTAAAAACAATAATGAATTTAATTTGAAAATAGCCTCCATAATCAGAGAAGAGACAGGTTCTTGATAAAAAAAATATAAATATTAATAATACTAATATTAGATATTTTAAAGCATTTGAAAATTCATCTAGCGAAAAAACAGCATATCTTAAAGTCAAAATAGTAAAAGAAAAGCCAATTTTTGATATAAGAAATTAGAATTTAAGAAAGTGTAAAAGTCCTAAAATAGAAGTTGGTTATCAAACATATGAAAAGAGGAATAAGGTTAATAAAGTTTAAACATTTAATCAATACAAACAAAAAAATTAATAATGTATATACTTTTAGCTAAACTATTCTGAAAACTCAATATATTAAAAAAGGTTACTAAGCTAGAAGTCATAGTAACTTTTGAACAACTCTTTAAATGGTTTTCAAAAGCTTAACATATTTTTCCCAAAGTAAGCTACCATTTTTGGGCCAAAAATTACACAAAAATTTCTGAAGTAGCTTATTTTGGAAACAAATCGATTTTTGGTTATTTTTTATTAAGTAAAAGTAGTTGTTATATATATATATCAAAATAGTACTAAGTAAATATATATTATAAACTTAATAGAGTTGTTCAGAATTAAAAAATACACATATTCTGAAAGTTTCATACAATTTGGATAACTTTTTATTAGTAACATTTTGCATATAAAGTTTGAA